GAATATATTATCCCAGAAATGTATTATCTATAATATTCATAGATGGAAAATCTAGAGAGGATGTGCACAGTGGCCAAAGGAGCCGAGGCTTTCGAGTTGGCCACTGTCATGTCTGAGATATAATCAGAAAAAAACCAAGATTTATACAACTCAGAATTAGAATTGACGGGCACATTATTACCATAATCTACAGCAAATATCATACCAACTGAAACATATCTTAATGAGAGGCATACTGTAACATCTACTATCATTGATTGGAAAGAAGAAATATTTTATGTTGCTTTCTAAAAGCAGGTTGAGTAAGGGACTTAAATTGTATGGGACACTTTCCCACATTTGAACTGCCTTATATTTAAACAAAAATTTGTCGGCTGTAGTCTGTGCAAATGTTTGTGCTATAAAAATTTCCTCAGGTAGCAAATTGAGTTTTATGAGAGTGTATATCTACTGCTGGGATGATAGTGTCAGAGAATATAGCTGGAATACCTCTATTTTTGAGAATTTTATATGTAAATACAGCAGTCTTAAATTTTACAAAGTTATCAAAATTGAAAATTTGTAGTAAATTATAATGTGGTGTTGAATGTTCTCTACTGTGAGCAAAAAAGGTATTGCACATACATTTATTTTGCTTTGTATGGGGCTTATTCAATCTTGTCTTGTAATTATTTCCTCAACTTAGAATGCCATAGTTGAGGTCAGGAAAAATTAATGTATAATATAACATCATTGTTTTTAGTTCTTGATAATATCTGAGTTTGTTTATTATGCTAATGTTTTTGGCAACTCTGTTATTAACATGTTGTATATGGGCACCCCAGCTCAAATGCTTAATAATGAATACACCTGTATTTATCTCAACTTGTATTTTAGGGGATGTTACAACCATGTAATTAGTTTTTCTTAGATTTAGAGACAGCTTATTAGTATTACAATAACTAAAAACTGATTTAATTGCAGAATTCATAACCAATTCTAATTCTCTTAACTATAAATGATATTAGTATCATCAGCAAAATTCTAAATGATTGTCCCTTACAGCAGTTAGGAAGATCATTAATATATAGTAGGAAAAGGAGAGGGTCTAATGTAGACCCTTGAGGTATCCCACAGAGGAGAGGCAATTTACTAGATTCTACATGACCTAATTTAGCATACTGTGTACAGTGTGATTCACTCCTGTGATTGAAGGGCTACTTTATGTTGAAGATTTCACCACTAACTGATTTTTGCGTACATGACCGTACATGGAATTTATTTGCACTTGTAGTAGTATAGTCAACTGAAAAATTAAATTAATATGACAAAGAAGGTTATTACACATGTCGATTTCGGTTGAAGCGACGGGAAAAATAATATACTTACAATTTGTGTTCCATATGCGGCTAGTAAGCTTCGAAGTGCGATCTGTGGTGACACTTTTGAAATGTTAGTTGCGTAACGAACTTCCAGGTTTTTAAATAATTAGTCACCTGATCTATTTTTGCCGCGTTGCGCTAAGATAATTAAATATTCACAAAAAAATGACAAACGGCTTGAGAAATGCAAATCACAGTGTTTTAAATAGCTCTAAACACCACAACAGACAGAGGCTTGTTTTGGAACCAGACAGTTTATTAAATGTATATATCCTACGTAAATAACATACTAGAATATTACGTAAAAGATATTGGATGAATACACTAAACAGAGGCTCCAGTAATCAAGAATAAATTACAAACACAAATGAGATTAAGATACAATCAAAACTATCAATGGTGTGGGTGGGAGGGAAACTAAAACTTTCTTAAAGCTAGAAATAAACTTGTTGCTCGCTTGCTTGCTAGATTTCTAATAACACATGCAGGATACCCAAGCGGTAATACTAAAGTAATTTTGCAATTAAAACGCGTTAGCGTGGTGAATAGCCATTGGCTCTACCCAAGTCTTATGACTTATATGCTGGACAAATTGCTTCTTAAAGAAAAGGGAAAATACCAATATGCACCCTGCCTGTAACCAGTCCAGGTCTCTCAGTTATCAGTGTCTAGATATTAATGTTTGCTTTAAACCAGCAAAGAGGGAGACCCCTGATTCTATAGGCATATAGTTTTGAGAGTAATATTTCATGATTTACAGTATCAAATGCCTTTGACAGATTAAAGAAGACTCCACAAGATATTTTCTTTTTATCTATAATTTTTGCTTCTTTTAATTTGTCAGTGACCTCTAGTATGACGTGTTTGGAAGAGAAGTTCTTTCAGAAGCCAAATTGATATTTATATAGAATTTCCTTTATTTCTAGGAATGAATAGAGTTGGTCATGTACCAACCTTTCAACAACTTTCCTAAAGAGTGATAAAACTGCAGTGAGTTGGTAATTTCTTGGTTCAGTTATTAAACCATTTTTATAAACAGGAGTAACTTGAGATATTTTGAAAATATCTGGCACTACTCATTATAGACTCATTATAGATATATGTAAAAGGTTTTGAGAGATCCTCAGAAGCAATCCTTGTCAATTTATTTGGAATATGTAGTGAAGTTTTGCTATCATTTAATGTAGAGAAGAGATTACAAACCTATGCTTCAATTACCTCAGATAATACAAAACTTGAGGAAGGGGAAGATTTTATGTATTTATGTCATCGTTATTCCTTATAGAACTAGCAAGTGTAGGACCTCCATTAACCTTTTTAAGTCGCATGAGTGACCGAGACAGAATTTCTCCTTACAATTTCAAACAGACAGGTGATGAGAATAAAGATAAATTTAATTAAGGAATTCTTAGTTGATCCAATACTAAATTCTCCAAACTAATATCACAATAACTTTAAAGCAGATGACAATGAGAAGTTCTAAAGAGATCTTGGGAGTTAAAGGGTTAACAAAATATTTGTTTAGTTGATGAACAATATCAGAATTTATTGTATAGATTCGATTGTTTACAATGATTTTTGTTTGGTCAGATTGCCCTTTAGTTTTACAATGAATAAGAGTTCCAATTAATTTCCTTTTTGACTTCATGTTATTTTTACACAAATTGAAGTGTTTGTGATAGTATAGAGTATTGCATTGTGACTTAAGCCTGTTAAGCTTATTTGAATATATTTTGTATTTGTCAACTTTGGATACATCATTTGAAAGAAAAAGGGTTTGATACATTCTTTGTTTAGCTTTTATTGATTTTAGGATGCCATTTGTTATCCATGGTTTTGTTGACTGTTTTTGTTTAGTCTTAGAAATATATTTTTTTGGAGCATGCTTGTCTACTGTTATAGCTTCAATAGTTTTGGTGGCAAGCTCATGCAAGTTGGTACATTTGCTTTGAATGGTATTCCAGTCTATAGCTCTGATATCAATTTTATATAATTCTTTATTAAATGCTCTATTGTGTCTAAAAGATATGGGATGTGCTTGGTGCTTTACTGCTGTCCCACATATGCAAAACACTGGTAAATGATCAGAAATGTCTACAGTAGCAATTCCAGAGACTTTTTGTTGGTTAAAAGAATTCGTATAGGTAACATGTTGTTGGTATAGAGCATTTCTAACTAATTTTCAGTTAAAGATTGGCTATTACATTTGAGGAAATCAATGTTCATATTCCCCAGAATAGAAACTTCATATTTTTTCTGATTAAGATTTTTCAATGATGCATCTAGTTTGGAGGTAAAATCTTCTATATTAGCTGATAGGTGTCTATATATACAGCCTACTATTATATGAGCTTTGTTGTTACATGGATCAATTTCAATCCAGCATGATTCTACCAATGGCATATTCAGATCTATATCAGGTTTGAATATAGTTTTTAAATTCTTTCAATTATAGATAATTGCATTACCAGCTGCTGTTGGTGAATCATTGTAGAGGAAGTTATAATTTATGAGATCGGTATTTGAAACTGAGTAACTATTAGGTCTCGTCTCTGAAGTCGCTATTACATCTTTCCTGTCGTTCAGATAGTAGAGCATATCATTTAATAAGTTTGAGTTCTTGGAAAGGCTTCTAATATGGTTGAAGTCGATCAATTAATTCCTCCACAGAGAATGATCAGAGCGGACAGCGTGTCGTTATTTTATTATCATTACCCCGCTCCAGCGAATAGATGATACTCTTTGTTTTTTATAAGTGATACATCATACATTGTTACCTCGGGAGAGAATGATGATATGAAATTTGTGTATTTACTCCTGTAAATCATAGGAAGTAAATGAAGTGGGTGGCTATTAACCACGTCGTTACTGCTAAGTGTTTTCTTTCATGTGTCACGCAATGCACTACACATTCTAGCCCGCCTAGTTTCCCTTCTTTGAGCAAATGTATTTCAAGTATTTTATAAACTGAATCATGTTTTGACCTCCTTAAATAGAGTCTTTTGATAACCAGGTAAAACTGAGAACCTATATAGCTGTATTAGTGCTGAACTCCCTGAACTTTTATGTATTTATGTTAAAAAAAAAATAGGTAAAAGTAAATGGAAATCAGGCTTCTCAGTCATTTGCGTATTTTAGTTTTCCTAGGTGTTGTCATAAACTGAAAAGCTTGAAAGGTAAAAGGAATATAAACTTTTTGTGCGAACAATCCTTAAATGTGATTTAAATAAGGATGCAGGCCTTGAGATTTCAAATTACTCGTTCGACCCGCTATATATGTCGCTTTTGCAGAAGGGGCTAAGATCAGAGTATTTCAGGTATTTTTGTATAATTTCTCTTCTTATACAGGCTTAAGAAAAACGCATCTAAGTTGTTGCACACCGATTCCTTGACAGCAAAATCATACCCACACAACATGGAATGAAAATGTCTAAGTATTATTGAAAGCAATCCGTTTTGATCCTCTCCTCTTAAATCATCCATCCACCCTATTTAAGCATGTACATTTTATATTAGCTATATCTGTATTTTGTGAGATTAACCGTCGACTCTGTTGATCTATTTCACAGTTTGGGTTGCAGTCATGGGGTAAGGAAGGCCCGGTAACTGATCCTGCCTCAGGTTTTCCTTTTTTAAAAAATGGCTGCCGCTTTGGACCCGGATGATGTGCTTCGTTCTTCGGAAGGGAGAGATAGTTACCAGCGTCTGGCTCGGCTTTTGATAGGTGGAGGTACTGTGCTATTGAGGGAAGCTTTTGACATCAAATGTCCACCAAGTAATCTTTCCACAATACTTCAGAATCCAGCCACGAAGAAGCTACTTGAGAAACCAAAGCTTACCAAACCACAGAGGGACTGCCTGTACCCTTCCCCAGGGATGTATGGAAAGTCAACAGACTTTGATATAACTCTCCTTTTCCGGTTGTTGAGGACAGTATGCGGCCTCACCCCTCCTGTCACGGGCTGGGATGTGCTGCCAGCAAATACAGATGACAGTTTAGAAGCAGATTTAGCTAGAATCAAATATTACCGTAATTCGATGTATGGTCATGTGACCGAGAACATGGAGATCTCAGATGACGAGTTTTCACGTCTTTGGAGAGAAATCAGCGAGGCTCTGGTGAGAGTTGCGGGTCAAATCAGCCCTGCAAAGGCAAAAGAATGGCAGGATGCTATTGATACATTTTTAAAAGATCCCCTCACAGAGGAAGACAAGAGACATGAGCAGGAATTGCAGCGCTGGTACCAGAATGATACAGAAGTAAAGGAATACCTGGAAAAAGTAGAATCTTCAATGAAGCATTTGGAGAAAGAAGCTTACTACTCAAGACAAGAAGTTCGAGATGAAGCGCAAGACATCAAAGATCAGCTCGGAGGGAAAGTAGAATCTACAGCCCAAGAAGTGAAGCGCTTAGGACAAGAAGTTCGAGATGAAGCGCAAGACATCAAAGATCAGCTCGGAGGGAAAGTAGAATCTACAGCCCAAGAAGTGAAGCGCTTAGGACAAGAAGTTCGAGATGAAGCGCAAGACATCAAAGATCAGCTCGGAGGGAAAGTAGAATCTACAGCCCAAGAAGTGAAGCGCTTAGGACAAGAAGTTCGAGATGAAGCGCAAGACATCAAAGATCAGCTCGGAGGGAAAGTAGAATCTACAGCCCAAGAAGTGCAGCGCTTGAGGCAAGAGTTCCGAGATGAAGCCCAAGACATCAAAGATCGATTAAAACTGGGTGTCCGACCCAATTCCTCAGCTGGAGGTCAGCTTGTTGATCTTTTTGTGTATATCTTTTACTATGAAAGTGTTATTCCCGTTACATAGGCATTTACGCGACGTATCAGTGTTACCTGTACGGTGCACATTGTTCACCTTTTTTGACAGAAATGGCTTCGTATATTTTTGAAGCGGAGAAATGTCAGTTATTTATCGTCTCTTGACTATAGGCTGACGACCACTCATACTAATTTAACCATTAATTTCCTCTTTTGCCTCTGTTGTAGATGGTTAGTCGCTGCAATTACTGACACTTATTCCCCTTACAGTTACAATTCGAATGCGGATTGATTGTGAGACCATCCCAGACCTTCATCCGCGACTTGAGACATCAGAGACAGTGGTTATAGCCAGTCAGGGTACCCGAGCTTGTGGTGACGAGCTGGTAGTTACTGGAACGTCAGAAGGAACGCCTGAAGACACACAGGATACCCAGGCAAGAAGGCACGAGATGGTAGCTACTGGAGTGAAGCGTAAGGCAGTGGATCCTGTTGCATCTGCTGGTCTACCACTCGCGGGAAGAACAGAAAGCGCCGAAGAAGCGGGTTCTCAAGGAGTTATGAATTTCATTGCGCGCAAGTACTTTCAGACAGTTGACACAACCAAACCTGAGGAACGAAATGAATTTCTACGGTTTTTAGCAGATGTGCGCAAAGTTCTGGTCCTGGATGCTCAATCAGGAAGTTTGATATTGACATTACAATGTAGATCATTGGAGATACTGGATGCCCTGTGGTATGACTATTGCACGGGTCACCTGAATGATATGGCACAGAAACATCTTGTGACAAAGGACGTTCTGAAGGAGTTTGAATTGACGGAGCTGAAACTGATAACAACTATTCAGAGGGAGGAGTACATGGCTGCACGAAAGTATTTCCTGCAGGGTTCAGGTGAGCACATACAAAGTGTTTCAGAGAGCTGTCTTTAACCAAATAAATAGGGCATCGTCTTCGTCAATGCTATAAAACACGTTAGCAGAGGTTTGCATGCTATGTTTTTTTATGCCCCCTCAAGGATGTTTTCAAATTTGTTATTTCACCAAATTCAGACAGGTATCATTTAAGAAATTTAATTATCGGATCTTGAGCTCTCTCTATGTAATAGAGAGATGGGGATTGAGGACGGAGGGAGGCGATGAGAGACGACCCCACGACCTCTTGACATTTTTAGGAAATTGATCCAACTCTTGTATCTTGGGCCAACCCAAAGTAGTAAATATCCCTTCAAGCCAATAATTTAACATTAATTTAACTCTTTAAATAGCCGACTGAGAAATGTATGGTCATCAGTTTTCAGAAGTGTTCTCTATAGATTCCCAACTCGTTTTGGGAGTAACTGAAACGATGGAAAAATACTTTACAGAGACAGCTTGAATTTATTTGTGATGTATAAAGCTCACTATAATCAGTCACCTGGCCAATTGATTAGGGCGTCTGGTGATGTTACCTGCTATATCATCTCTTTCCCTTTAAATTTGTTTTCAGATCATGGTCCACTCGGTATGATAAGTAGCAGAAGTATCGCAACCGGCCAAGAATCGACTTCCTGTGGAAAGCTCCACGATATTGCACTAGGAACAATGAAAAAAGGTTCAGTTGGCTCACGGGAGAGTCCGCTTCAAAAAATTGAAGGAGTCCCAGACGATATCCCTGTTTTCAATGTTGAAGTGGAGGGAGATCCTACCCCTAAAATGTCCTCAAGGCCACCACAACACCTAAATCTTCGAGGTGGCGGGCAAATCTTTATAAAAACAACGACTGGAAAGACAATCACTTTGGGGTTGGATCTCGAAACAGACACCACAGAGAAAGTGAAAAAGAAAATTCAAGATAAAGAAGGGATACCGACGGATCAGCAACGTCTTATCTTTGGCGGGCAGCAATTGGAAGATGGCCGTTGTCTGAGTGATTACAATGTTCCGAAAGAAGCGACTCTTCACTTGATTTTAAGACTTCGTAGTGGCATGCAAATCTTTGTAAAAACAATGACTGGAAAGACGATCACTTTGGAAGTGGAATCGTCAGACACCATTGAGAGAGTAAAAAGAAAAATTCAAGACGAAGAAGGAATCCCACCGGATCGGCAATGTATTGTCTTTGCCGGGAAGGTATTGGAAGATGGCCGTTGTTTGAGTGACTACAATGTTCCGAAAGAAGCGACTCTTTACTTGATAAGACTTCGTAGTGACATGCAAATCTTTATAAAAACATTCACTGGAAAGACGATCACTTTGAAAGTGGAACCGTCCGGAAGCATTAAGAAAGTGAAAACAAAAATTAAAGACATGGAAGGAATCCCACTGGACCAGCAACGTCTTATCTTTGACGGGAAGCAATTGAAAGATGGCCGTTGTCTGAGTGACTACAATGTTCCGAAAGAAGCGACTCTTCACTTGGTAATGAGACTTCGTAGTGGCATGCAGATCTTTGTAGAAACATCGACTGGAAAGAAAATCACCTTGGAAGTGGAACCAGCAGACACCATTGAGAATGTGAAAACAAAAATTCAAGACAAAGAAGGAATCCCACCGGATCAGCAATGTCTTATCTTTGCCGGGAAGGTATTGGAAGATAGCCGTTGTCTAAGTGATTACAATGTTTGGAGAGAATCGACTCTTCACTTGGTTTCAGGACTTTATAATGGCATGCAAATCTTTGTAAAAACATTGAGTGGAAAGACGATTACTTTGGAAGTGGAACCGTCAGACACCATTGAGAATGTGAAAACAAAAATTCAAGACAAAGGAGGAATCCCACCGGATTACCAGTGTCTTATCTTTGCCAGGAAGGTATTGGAAGATGGCCGTTGTCTGAGTGATTACGATGTTCGAAGAGAATCGACTCTTTACTTGGTTTTCAGAGTTCCTAGTGGCATGCAAATCTTTGTGAAAACATTGACTGGAAAGACGATCACTTTGGAAGTAGAATCGTCAGACACCATTGAGAATGTGAAGACACAAATTCAAGACAAAGAAGGAATCCCTCCGAATCAGTACCATTTATGCTTCAATGGTCAGCTACTTAACGGTAAACGTACTCTGATTGATTACAGTGTTCCGAAAAAAGCGACCCTAGTTTTAAAACCTCGTTGTAACATACTTATCTTTGTAAAGACTCTCACAGGAAAAATCCTTGCTCTAGACGTGGAGCCTTCAGATACGATTAAGAATGTGAAACGGAAAATTCAGGACAAAGAGGGTATCCCACCAAGCCAGCAACATCTGATCTTTAGGAGGCAAGAACTGAAAGACCACCAAACGTTAGATGAATACAAAGTCACAGATAAATCTTCTGTACATTTGCGACTCGAAGACGAACTTGATAGAATACTTATCAATGTGGAGTTTCCTAGTGGAAGGAAGATTTTTATAAATGTTTCACCAAGGGATGATTTTGAGAGCGTGAGAAAGATAATCTATAATAGAGAAGGGATTCCAGTTGATCAACAACGCCTCAGCTTTGTTGGCAAAGAAGTTGTAGACGACCACCTTCCTCTGAGTGAGTACGACAATCAGATTGAATTATCTCTGCAACTGGATGTGAAACAACAAAAAAATGAATTCCTGCTTCAGGTGAAGACACGATCTGGAAAAACAAATATCAAAATTGAAGCTGTATCGGGAGATACCATCCAGGATGTGAAAAAGAAAATAACTGAAGAGATTGGAATACCGCCAAATCATCAACTACTTATGTTTAACAGTAAGGAAATTGAAGATGAACGCCGCTCGCTGGAAAGCTACGATATCAACAGCGACTCCATCATTGAACTGGTTATTAGAAGAACACATGACAACGAAAGGCATATTTACGCATAAATGCAGAGTGGTGTAAGAATCGTAGCAGACGTATCACCGGGGGATACCCGCACGGATGTGAAGGAGAAAATAAAAGAAATGACAGGAACCCCGGTCGACAAGCAGCTGATCACTTTTGGTGACACAAACCTCGAAGGTGACAACAAACTGAGCGATTTCGGTGTGGAACATGGATCCACAGTTTTAATGATTACCAGTTCTAGCACTTAGGAGAAGTGTATCGTAAGTTAATTAAACTAGACCTATCACAAATCCCAAAATGGAGTGCATAATTGTGAAAGACGAAGAGATTTGACAGCTCCATAAAAGAACAATCACAAAAGAATAAGACAGACTTTTCCTCAATTTGACAACGAGTTAAAATGCGATGTTTGAGAGAATCCTTTCAATTTGTTTTATAGATCTGACCATGCAGATACCGCTTATCACTGAAAATTATTTAGCCTGCATCCACCGTATCTATTAGGTTATAAGCCGATCTCGGCTACAAGCCGAGACCCCAACCTTTGTACGTGTAGACTTGGCACAACGAGAACCAAAATAAATCGAAAACACCCGGCTATAAGCCGAGACCCATGCATTACTACAAGACTGAATTGTTAACTACGGGAAAACCTAACATTTTCTGAAAAAAAATCACTTTCATTACGATAAATGAGGCTTAGACACGCGCCTATACAAGAGATACAATGGTGATTTAATATGCAAAGGAAAAAAAGGCTTCCCTCCTAGAAAACACACATGAAAAGCAACAAATCATAACACGGATGAATTAATGTGACCCAAAAAATCAGTTGAAAACTGTATTGTTAAGCGGCATCACCAGTGCCTACACATCCATAGTGTCTATCAAACAATCTGGTGTTCGCAATCATTTATTTCAAGTCCAGTTGTCATCATGCCCAAGGCTCGTCGCGCGTCATATAACCTCGCGTTTCAACTTAAAATAGTCTTGGTAGTCCCAAGGTGGCCAATCACCAAGGGATGACCGAGCTTAATAAAGTTTGCGCATGCGTTTGTAGCGTTGCAGTTGTGTCTTCCGTTGTAGTTATGTCCTCACACCTAATAACCAATAGAATGCGGTTTTATTTCTTCCAATCAAAGTGCGTTGTGAACGTGTCTTCTGCGTGTCACTTCCCAACTAGGGGAGGGATGCAATGCAAAATTGTGAGACTATCGTTAAGTTTTCCGCGCTCGAAGTTTGGGAATTTCATGGGCTATTCTTGTTTCATGGGCTTATCCTTGATGCCTTTTGGGACACTTCGGATTGTTGAAAGATTAATATTCTTGTTGCGTTTTTAAGCGCGAAGTATCAGTGAAATTTTCTTCGATACGTTGGAAAGGTTAGGAAGACGAGAATTTGACATTGCCTCGTAGCTTCCCTTATTGGTTTGGAGTGCGCTGGTGATCGAAGTTGTGCTTTTTTGTCGGAACTACTAAAGGAAGGTAAGGTTTCGGTTGCATTTTATGCTAGTATTTTGTTAAATTCAAATATTACAACCATTCTTCAAAGATCACGTTCAAGTTTTGGGCTTAATACTGTAGATTTCATGTGACAGCATGGCGAAGCGTGCAGTGACTACTAACTTTGATTCATTGAATCCTTCAGTGTCGAGGGCTGATTTTTTTTTAGTTTGCGTGCGACATGTAAAACTAGATGTTACATAATTGAAAAACAGGGCAGATCTCGGTGTTTCAATGCCCAAAAATGTGTGATTTTCTCCATCTCATTGTGCCTACAATGATGGCTATTATGGATACAGTGGAAGACATGTATTCATTGTAAATGTATGGGACTACGCAAAATTCAACCTCTGGTATGGTTGATGTCAAATATCACATATCCTGGGAGGTTAACTCACCAACCGCTAACTCGTATGATGAAGATCTGGTCTCTTTCATAAAGGATAGGGTGCTGTCTCCCAATGCTCTCCAACAAGTAACAGTTGGGTTACAATATATTAAATCATTCTCTTTGCTCACCCAGAAGTGACAGAATTGCAGCAAAATTACTCTTCACTTAATAATTAGTGCTTTGTTATTTAAATCAGTGGCTGACATATGCCACTTTCTTTATTTTGATCAATTTAGAGTAAAGTCCCCTGTACCAAATTATAAGGAATATGATAATAATATGTATGTTATATGTTACCACATTATCCATACTTTTTCAGCTATGTGTCACAAACATTAAAATGAAATAAACACTAATTCATGCAGAAATGAATACTTAATTCAATACAGACTATTGCCTACTATTAGCTCCTACATGTGTTAGCAAGAACTTGGTCTTGTTGGCATTCATTGTGAGCATTTGGCAATCTGTATATTAGTGGAGAAACTCTCTGCAACTATCTTTGCTAAGAAAATACCAATCCTTTCACCCTTACTAAATATCATTCATACAGGCATGGATGAGAACCAGCAGCAAAGCAAAGAAAACAAAAGTGCTGATGAGGTGGTAAGCTCTATTCTAAACATTTTCTTGGCGAATTATGCACTAGTTATAAAAAGGTATATGTTGTGCTTAATTTTTGTCCTTGGTATAAACATCATTTTCCTTTGGTTTTGTTAATGATATGAATGAAAAATGCATTTTGTGTAAAGAAAGATAAAATTTAGCTCCTAGCCTAAGTTATGATGAGATGATGTGTCACTATCAATTTGGCCTCTATTAAAAGTAAAAGAATTAAACTAAGGATAAAACTAAACCACAGCATACCTATACTAAACCCTCAGCCTATTTGTATCAATATTACTATTTTTTCTGGTGTTCACCCAATAGATTCAATCCACTCACAGACAAATATGGCACCTGTGCATTTTACTATTACTCTTAGGCTAAGGCACTCGTAGAAAGCAATATTTCACAAAACAACAACATTATGTATGCAAGGTTTAAATTTTTCAGACCTTTACTGCTTGTTTTTATGAGTGGTTCCAGTATTTTCTTGCACAAAGAGTTCTGGTTGAATGTACCAGTCACCATGTTTTTTGGTATGGTGGTTTACAGTAATTGTTGTATGAAGTAACCTTCACCAATATTAATTTTGTGAACTTGTCACTGACAAAGAGCTAGTTCATGATTAGACATTGATCGTTTCATTAATTGCCATGCTCTACATTTATCATTGAAGTACTGATTAACTCCTTTGCCATCAGTAATTGCATTAAAGATACTGTGTTAGAAATCACAGCACTGTACCCCAAAATCTAATGTTGTCCTCAGCACAATCTCATTTTTTGAGCAAGGCAAAAGTAAAAATCAAACAAGACCACACAGACATCATCACAGAGACAACATTGCTATGTATAATGTTTATATAGTTAGTTACATAAAAGGTACTCTATTCATTAATTCAGTGTCAATACTCACCCTCGTAGCAGCTATAATTTTTAGCCAACTTGGGAAATAGTGGCCTAAAATGGACCCTTTTGGACATCTGAACTTTTAAATTTCCAGGGAAGGTTCCCCAGACTTTGCCATCAAGTGGGAATAAATGGCTGTCACACTGTCATTTTGGCCCCTCCCAGCTGCTCAAACGTTGTCCCTCCTTTCCACAATCTTACCAAAGCCCCCATATGTGTAGTAATAAAAAACATTGAAGTGAAGTGTGCTATCTAAGCAAGAGGTGATAATCATGCACACTTTTAAGTGAGTCATCATAGCAGATGTTTGGTGAGGTATTGCATTCTGTGCTCAAAATCTAGTTCATGTAGACCTGGGAAAAAAGAATGGGGTGTAGCAGCCATTCATGTTGTTTAATTGCTCTAAGCTCTAATTCGATACTACTGTTCATTTGGCTATCTTTCTTGCCAATACTGTTTCGTTATTTGGGTTTTCTTGAAGACACTTCCCATTGAGAAGAAGCATTATATGTGTTTACAAATTAGAAGTAAAGAAAAGTGAAAAAAAAATAGGAGAGTGACAGGATGGTATCAAAGACAGTGGTACAATTTTTTTTTTTTTTTTTAGGGGGTCATTTTTTATTTTTGAATCAGAGTTTTAGCCTAAGTATGTCTAAGTTTCTACACTTGTTGTTTAGTCTTGTGACTTCTTGCTTTAAGAAGTGAGGTAAAATTGTTTGAATTTGTTTTTTTTTCATTACAGCCACTTGAGTCTGTAAATGGAAAGAAAACACTGAAAAATGACGGTAAGGAATACATTGCTTGCACTATAAAGTATTGAAGTAATTTGCAACTCTTCATATTTGTTATTTGTAATTGACATGCTTTGCACAGGTGTTGTGGGGTTAGTGGAGAAGTTAACTGTATTTCAAAAATTAAATCACTTTAAATTGCAGTGAAAGCTATTACTTTTATAGTTATAAAAAGTATCAAAGGTAACTTCTCTGAGAACCTTCTCCAGTGTCTGTGATATAGAAGTGTCCACTAAATATAGATTCATTTATTAAGAAATGTGGGAAGAATAGTATGCAACTGAAAATACAAGTAAGGACTGGAAAAGAATATTTATTCCTTGCTAGTAATCTCAGAACAGCTGTGTGGAGCTGGAAATTAACAGTGCTGGAATACAACAGTAAATCCTGCTGATAAACTGAGAACAGCTGTGTGGGGCTGGAAATTAACAGTGCTGGAATACAATAGTTAACTCCTGCTGAGAAACTGAGAACAGCTGAGAGGGGCTGGAAAATAACAGTGCTGGAATACAACAGTTATCCACAACTGAAATTCAGAAACAGGAAACTTTTAAATACTTTTTGTGCAACAATATACTGAGCATGCAGTAATATCTTCCATTGCCTCAATTCCAGTTACTTGTAGAAAGGTCATCTCTGAACCATTAAATAGGATCTGTTTTACCCGTTATGGAAGAAAAATCTTAACCCTTTAACCCCTAAAAGTGACCAGCTTCTAATTTCTCCTTACAATATCTCCCCTGAATCAAACATTGAGTTCATGAGAATAAAGGAAATGACCAACAATTTATAAATCTCTTGATTTTTATAAAAACTCTCTTTGTCAGGGCTTCAGGAAATGTATAGAGAACAGTATGGAGAATATGCATACTGAGGTGTAAAGGGTTAATCAATAAATGTATGTTAAAGGTAGCAATCTTCTATAACTATTACTTATTCACAAATACTATATTTTATTTAGCAGATTGTAGCTTCAATGGATGCCAGAAATATTTTTATGAAAAACTGGCAGATACAGTTTTGTATTGTACTCCAGGATATACATCTTTCCCAAAAGATGGTATTTCTTCAGAGAAGAATGAAAACTTAAATGCTTTCTTTAATCAGTATAAAAGACGATTTTTTTTGAACGACGTAGCCTGAAAAAGACCAGTCTACACACTAAAACTTGACCAAGAAGGTAAGATTGTCCGTGACAAAAATGGCATCCTTGTTGTTTTGGTCAACAGTTATGTTCAAGGAGAGCTTAAGACTACAAAGCAACTTCTCTACAGAGAGGCTGTAGATGGTGTATTAAGCAGTTTACACTACATTAAAGGTGTCCTTGGAGAGGATACTTGCCTCCCTGGAGGGGTGAATGCCTTGAGTAGGCTATTCAATCAAAAATATGTATTTAAGGGTATTTTCAACCTTATTAGGGCCTTCTTGGCTCGATGCTCAACATGTCAGGTCAACAACCCCTTGCCAATGCGAGTGCTTCCCCCTCCTGTCCCCATTAGATCTTTTCGCCCCCATTCCAGACTACAGTGTGACCTTATTGACATGGCCCCAAAGAAGCACCGTAGTTTTATGCAGAATAATTGTTGGAGCTACCGTTACATTCTAACAGTCAAGTGCTGTTTCTCGAAGTTTTGTTGGCTGTTTCCGTTAAAAACAAAGTCTGCAGAAGAAGTGTATGCCATTCTGAAGGCCTTGTTCATCAAGGAAGGGTCACCTACTGTAATTCAGTCAGATAATGGTGGTGAATTCATTGGAGAGGTAGTGCAAAAACTTTGCAAAGAATTTGAAGTTTGCATGGTTCATGGTAGGCCACACCACCCACAGTCTCAAGGCCAGATAGAAAATCTCAACAAGCAAGTCAAAAGGTTACTTGCAAGGTTTTTACAACAGTTGCCTAGAGATCTTCAGGCCAATGTCTGGCCTTTACTACTCTCTGCTATTGCAGACCTTTTGAATTGCAAGTGGCACAGCACAATTAATGATGTGCCTTTTCGAATATATAAGAACCGTGAGCCTTCCTGCTTGGTGGACTACATCATCCCAGATGATAGTATGTGGACAGAAAGTATTGAAGATGGTTGCCTTGAGGATTATGAATTTTCATCAGAAGATTTCATTGAACTTGAGAGACATGGGGAAAGCACTTCCATGGATAAATCTAAATTAGAAGAGATAACAGAGGCCATCCCGCAAATTTCTTCTGAGACCATATTATTGTCTTCATTGGGTGTTTCAGCTAAGCAGCTGTCAGCAGCTGTTAAGAAGATAGTGCAAGGAAATTCACATTCTCCACCTTCTCACAGTCACAACAACATCCCACTTCAATCAGTGGATTCAGAGGCAGAATTCCAGGTAGAGAGCATCACAAAATACCTCTTCAACTTGAGTGAAGAATACAAATCTAAGATGGTGGATGTCCTTGAAGCAACAGAACACACCATTCAAAAGAATCACAAACGGGCTCTTAAGAGGGCTAAAGAGCGGGAATTTAAGGTGGGAGACAAAGTTCTCTTCCAAAATCCACGTTCAGAAGGATTGCATTTTCAAAAAGCCAGATCCCTTTCAGCCCTTGAATGTTCTGGGGGTCATCAAAGAGGTGCGTCCTGGAGGAATGTTCAAGGTGGAGATAGAATGTGGAGAGCAATTGGTAGTTAAATCCATTTTGGTGGCCAGATGGTTTTGTTCAAGGAAAAGCAGTGTGAACTTCCCTTTGTGAAACACCCCCAAGTTATCTTTGCTGAATATGCACAATTTCATTTCAGAGTTTGGCCTAACTGTGCGTAAGGAGATGTATAATCGAAGTCTAAGGTTGAGGAAAGTGGCTCACCATAGAAGTATTGATGATTTATTGAAGAGTTATTGTCAGGTTCTGGATTATGGACCCTTGCCATGGTATCGTCGTTTTCTGACAGAGAGGAAGAAGAAGCTGTGTTTCACCAGAAGTTTGTAACTGGCCTTCAAACTTTACAGGCTTCGGGTTTTCAGTACTTTCTCTATGGTACAATCTTTTGGGAGAGAGACAGAAAGCAAAACCTGGGAAAGTCAATTCTAAGTCATCTCACCAGTTACGAGGAACACTCTGACTGCTTGTCATGCGTTGGAGAGCAAAAAGAAACTCCATGCTTTCATCCCTGCTGCCAGAATCTTGTGCTTCAGATGGCTGTTAACTGTGGGCTCTTCTGTGTAACAATAGATGGTTGCATTGTACCATCTGATGATAGTATAATGAAAACATCTCAGACAGCTCCAAAGGAAACCCCTCTGTTAAGTAGCCATACAACTGAGGCTAGTACTTCATGCCATGATAAAGACAGTATCAAAAGACCTAGCACCCAAGTCGGTGTTGATGAGCCAGTGTTCAATAAGGATGATCTGCTTGACCATACAAATGATGTAAATGTTGATGTTGGATCCAACAGATGCAGTACACCCCAAGGAAGTCTGAAAACCCATGAAGTCACCCTTGGTGAGCCATCCACATCATTGCTGTTCATGCCAGGAAGCAATCAAGGAATGCTATGGAAGCCAGCTGAGTTGAAGGACAAGTGTCAGCAACATCTAGAGAACATTGATCCTTACTGCAGTGAACTGGCCAAGTTTGTAATGCCCTTGAAGGGCTTTCTTGCAGCCATAAATCCTTCTCAAGATAATGCCACAGAAAGAAGTAACTTGAGGTACTTTTTAAAGATTATTGACAAGCATGCAAATAAAGATGTACAGAGCCAAGTGCGCCTAAGTAGCAACAATGGCAGTCAGGAGTGTATGCAAGTTCAAGGGTACAGCTCATTCTGTGGACTTTGTGCAATGAACAATGCAATAGGTTGTTCCAGGAAAGGACCTACTTTGTTCAATTTGTTTGACCTAGATTTGGCAGCAGACATCATTTGGTTAAAACAGGTTTGTGAAGTTGGCTGTGGATTTTCTGTACCTTTAGAGCCTATGCGGGGTCTTGATGGTGACTACAGTATTTTAGCAATGGAGGAGGCAGCAATTAGGAAGAACTGTACATTTCAAAGACTAGATTTACCCTTGAGGGCACTTGTGGATGGTGCTGCAATTAATTCCCTTGACCCCAGCAGTCTCCAGGAATTTTATTCCCTTCTTCTGGGATTGTTCCAGGCAGATGAGAGACCATCACTCATTGTGAGGACAAAGGAATATCACTTTGTTACTCTGCTCTTTAAAGCAGATGCAATTGTACTTCTTGATAGTCGCAGGACATCTGCTCTTCCACTGTCCCTTAAAGATGGCCTAGGTTACATTCAGAGAGAAGCATATCAGAACCCAGATTTTGCTGCTGTAAACCTTCAAGGGCCTGGAACTTATGGCAATCCTGTGAGAGTGAATGACTTGCCAGAAGTTAAGCTGCACACAAATTTTCATTGCACACTGGATGAGGTGTGGGATTTAAGCAGTACTATAAGTGATGATACCATCATTGCCACACTCCATGGACAAGTCAAAGCAAAAGATGTTCGTACCCTCAAGCCAGGTAACCAAATAAATGATGTCGTGATCAACTACATTGGTCCATTCTTAATGAGTCAGAAAAAGGATGTGTATGTGGCAAGCACCTTTTGGCTAAATCACTGCAGCCAAGAGCTGGGTCTTAAGGAAATGCTTAGGTGTGATTTTCACAAGTATGAAAAGTTTGTATTTCCTGTTCATTGCCCTGGTCACTGGTGGTGTGTCTTAATAGACAGGCCAATGAAATTGTATGGGGAATTTGACTCCCTTTGTAAAGATCGAAGGAGTGATTATGTTTTTCAGGTCTTGTGCAGGGAATTCAAAACTGCAAATATTGATATTTCTTCATTTCGAAGGTTAAGTCAGGAGGAAAGAGAAAAGTTGCCTTCTCAAGGACAGAATGTTTTTGACTGTGGTGTCTTTGTCTTGGGTTTTATCAGTGCATTTGTCAACAACTTGGAAATGAATTTCAGCTTAAGGGATATGCCATTCCTGCGGAATTCATTTGCGAAAATTATCATGAATGGGCAACCAGTATGTGACATTAAAAATTGTCCCAGTACCCAAGAAAGTTGTCATCCAGCTTGTGAAGAAGGTGGCCATGGAAGTGTCCTTGGGCTAGTTGGTTGCTCTACCATTGAAACTATGAGATGTAGGGGTCAAGAGAATATTTGCAGTGACAAAGAATCTGGAGTAAGTGGTACAGGACTTATACATTGTGCTGGTGAAAACAGCAGTGCAAGAATAGGTGAAGATGGAATTAAGAAATGCAGAACAGGAGTGAGTCCATTTAGTCCAGACAAAACCATGGAAGAGGTTTCTGTTGGTTTTGGTGTTGCTTTTCCTGGTAAGTATGAATTAGGGGATTTTGAGAAGGATTATGAAGATATGGAAGATGATCCATTTGTTGTCCCCCCTCCTCTTCTGCCATTAGACATTCAACTACGGGACAAAGACACAGAGTTGTCAAATGAAAACAATATTCAAGGTAATTAATATGTTGACCATTTTCACTCTTTGTCTCTTTGTTTTTGTAATATGAATTTTTTGCTATATTGTTCCATAATTATTCATCTCTATAAACCTTGTTTTTTTGTTATTTGCTAAAGAAAGCATTGTTGTGCCTTTTTACAGCCAGTGAACCAGATGATGAAGATTTGGTCTTGTATGAGCTCCTCAAGCCTCCTTATGATGCTTCTCACGAGGTATGCAGAATTTGTGAGTGATCTGTGGTTTTCTTCTGCTTGGGTTTTCTCTTACATTATTATTATTATTATTATTATCATCATCGTCATTATCATTATTATTATTTTTACCACTGTTGTTGTTGTTGTTGTTGTATACTATGCAGAGATGTTCTTGTAACATGCCCAGTAGTTTAGGGGAATATCATTATTATTATTACTATTATTATAATCATTTTATATTATGCAGAGATGTTCTTGTTAACATGTCAAGTAGTTTAGGGGGAATATCATTATTGTTCTTATTATTAAATTATTATTATTATTATTATTATTTTAGTACTATTACTTTTGTGTTTTGTTTCCCTTTGATGACTAGTTTTGGATGTTTTTTATTGCCTTGTGTCTGCAATGAATTTTAAGTTAAATTATTATAAATACATCTAATGATTAATAGTCCTTTAATTGCTAAATTTGTTTGTTGGGTTAACATAACGATGTGGTTGTTTTCATTGTCCCTTGAGTTAATTTATAGCATATCATCATTAACATACTGATACTTGGTAAGTGGTACTTACCCGATGAAATTAAGCCAAATGTGCATTTTAATACGAATTTGGTGAAGACAGTCTTTCACAAGCCAAGTGTCATTAGATTTTCTTTCCTAATGGAGACTGATTTTCTTCACAGCTTCCAACCCTACAGATGCTCTATTCTAAAGAAGAAAGGAAGGTATTCCAAGGCCTTAACCCCATCACTGAGCAATATCTTTTCAAACTAAGGAAGGAGAAAGGGATAAATGTTCCAAGAGGGTGTTACCATGCAGTGATGACAACAGAAGAAATGGTAGATTTTGATTACTGGAGGCAGGTAAGGAAGGGGAAGTCGAGACAAAGATTTTTCCATTACAGGTGGGATAGAGCCTTCGAAGTTTGGACCAAGGAGACCACAGAAGAGTTGATAGATGTGGCAAGTATCTTAGAGCGAGTTGATAGTGATGGATGGGTCTTATTGAACATCACAGAACAGTATCACTATGAAATGTGGAGAGACTGGAAATGGAGGCAACTTGAGGAGAAAGACCTTTTGTAATTTTAAATAAAATCAATAAGGCAAGCTATTTGGCACAGAGTAATACTAATAATTAACCCTTTAACTCCCGTGTGTGACCAAGACAGAATTTCTCTTTACACTATCAATACAATATCAAGCAGACAAGTGATGAGAATAAAGAAAATTATTGATAAGGGGATTATTAGTTGATCCAATACCAAATTCTCAAAACTAACATCACAAGAACTATATGACAGACAGTAAGGAGAAATACTAATGAGATCATGGGAGTTTAAGGGTTAAACACTTAATGGGTCATGTGTTCATTCTAACAGTTTCAATTGGGTTTTGAAGCATGCTTAATTCAAGTCATATCCAAAATTCCCTTGCTCCACATTGTGAATTGTACTTAGACATGGCCAGAGAACATCAACAGAGAATGTGACCTCTTAAGCATGTTTGCATCAGACCTATGAATTTGTCCACAAAACTTCCTTTGGAATTGTTGAGTTCCAGAGTTTCACATCTAGTGCATTTCCAGAGCAGTAGAATTTAAAAAAATTGACACAAACATTTAAATTGCAAAGAATTTATTTAAAACCTTTATGTTTACAGCAACCCACATAAAAAGAAATCTTACCAACAATTATGAATGAATTAGTGAATAAAATAGCCTTGACTCCTCAATCTGGTGTCAACTGCTTTATTTTATTCAAAAGTATATAAGGGTAAATTGGAGAGTTAGTTACTGTGATCTGTGAAATAATATTGAATAATTAGAGCCAAACAGTTGCAAGTAAGTATGAAGGTAGAATGGATTTATGGTATATTAGTGCACTATGGTCCACTTTAAATTTCACAAATTCCAAAAAAACTATTTCACCTGAAGTTATTTGCTTGAATTATTTGTAGTGAAGATGTTTATTTCCATAGAAGTGTTGCATGTTCAAGTACAACTGGAGCAGTTTTTTTTTTAACTATCCATTTGTGTTCGTTAAATGAGCAATTTCAGCTTGAATTTTTAGTTAGATTAATTATGGATTGCACATGTTGTGTGCACAAGTGTTTATTTGTTGCAAACACTTACAGTGTATCCTATTTATCAAGAGAATTTTGTCAACAAAGGACATCATAGCAGGAAAAAGGTAACCAAAATTTGTATGAAACATTAAAAAAGGAACAACTAGCGTGATTTTACTTAACCCATGAAACAGTATGTAAACAAACCTGTATGACACCAGCGGCATGTTTGATTGTTGGATCACCCCCATGTTGTGTGTGGAAAACATGACATAAGCCAAAAATTTTTGTAACGCATAGTAGTCTATGATCAATTTCATTGGTTGGATAAAATCACTCTATGTTCATCTACAATATCTTGTCGAGAAATAAATTATGACAGAGCTTTGCCTTAGCATGAGCATGAATGATATTGCTCAATTGTCTTCTTTAGTGAGGCATGTAATTGATGAGGAGAAAGTAATACCTGTTTATTTTGTCATCTGTTAAAAATTTGATTAAATCTGAATTACTTAGGGTTGGTTTTCTTTATTTCCTCATATAGGCATCTCACTTTTTGGGCAGATGTCTCTCTGGAATGAAATTTATTTTTTCCATTTTCATCTTAATTGGAAAGGCCAAAAAAATACAACAACAAAAACCACATCAAGTCTAATATTAAGGCGACAAAGTCTCTGTGAACCAGTTTAATTGCAGTATTACTCAGAGTGCTTTTCAATTGAGTACTGTGAAACCAAAACCAAAGTAACTGCAATGGCCAGTCAGAAAAAGGGAAATATCACATGGAACCAATCAGGACTCAAAGTAAATACATGCAAATGGCCTGAAGTGCAGAAAAATGCGAGGAACAAAGTTATGATTGATTTTGGGTTTGCATCTGATTGGTTGAGAGGGTGGCACAAGATTTCTGGGCCAATCACAGAGCATACTTAGGCAAAACCATCACAATCTTGGATTACTTTTGACACTCAATTGAAAATTGCTCTATCCAAAGCAGTTCCTTGCTTTTCTTTTGAGGCATATATTATGTCTCTCAAAGGGGACAGTGGGTTTAATTCACATTTGAAATCCAAATTCAAAGAATTTTTAGCACACTTTAACAAACGTGGGTGACACTGCCATAGGTTCAATTTTTCTAGGTTCAAAAAATTTTTAAAGTAGTCTTTTGAGTTTCGTTCAAGATTGCAATTGAAAATAGAGAGAACCTTCAAATTCTCACACACTGGTAGAACTTCCAGTGCAGAATCAACATTTTCTTGATTGAGGGTATGTACATTTCCTCCAATTTCCAGAACCCTAAGAACATAGGAAAAAAATGTATGAATAAATTATTAACTTGCATTGAGATTATTGTCAAGTGATTACAACCCCTGAAAGTAAATAGAGAAGATCTACGTTTTCTCGTGTTTGTGTCGTTCGTTTCGCTAAGGCAGAGAATCATTCAAGGAGTCAGAGTTATACCATTCCATATGATTTTAGGGACGAAGGTGATAGCACGCTCACAACACGCTTCCAATCGAAAACAAAAAGAAACTGGCTATAACGCTTGCTGAGCATGCTAAAACACACTTTGCTCATGCTTTTATTTCTTATAACACTCTACAAAAAATAAAGCTTGCGCCGTTGAACAGTGAAGCGCGAGCAGGCAAACACGCAAAGCGTGTTAACCTTCGAATACAAAAAAGCTAGCGTAATAGCGGGCACAGCATAGTAGCGTGTAACCCGGTGTGCAGCACGCATGTTAACTAAACCTAACGCTTAGTCATTACACAGTCAATGTACTCTCATTCTTACGGTAAAAACCGAACCTCCCATCGGTGTTTATATCGTAAAAAACAAAGTTGAAACATTTGGCCGCGAACGAGTTGCAAGGATTCAAGGCAGACACTTCAATTACTTTTTTTTATGTGGAGTGGTTACTTTTGATGATATTTGTAGTATTTTGAAGCACAAAATGTAACTCAGTGCCAGACGAATTGCGCCGATCGCGTAAACAACCAAACATGTGCAAGATATTCATAAAGCGCCATAACATATAGCCGGTAAAGGCCGAAACATTTGCGTAAAAGTTTATTCCATCGGATGACCAGAGCGATTTTTAGGGGATGATAAAATCAACAGTAAGGAACAATTTTGTTTTCAACAACTCTTTGTTTCTGGGAGCACTACGACTCTCAAACGATTGTTTTCTCTTAATCACGCGCTCAGTCACGTGCCTGAAACTCGATTCAATCAATGCAGTAAACAATTTGCGAAACGGGAACTTATATAAGATAACGTGATGGTGTATAACTTTTGAAGGCGTTAAAATTCATTTGTCGTACCATTATTTACCATTGTTTACCATTATGTAAGCTTGCCCATCACAATGAAGTGCTATTGAGTTCAAGAGGAAAACATTTGGATGAACGGCAGAAATATCTAGCTACGTTTTACTTTAGTGTGTCCTCCTGTGTAAACTTGCACGCTAAGCGTAACATCGATCACGCTTTTCAAACCGAAACAAAGACCAAGCGTGCTAACTTGACCAAAACGAAACAGTGTGTACTTGTTGTTAAAAATAATATATGCACATATTAAACACGCTAAGCGTGTTGTGAGCGTGTTATCACCTTGTCCCTGAAATTATATGGCGGGTCACATTTGTCATTTGGAGGCAATTTAAAACGAGGAGTGCGGCTGTAGCCCTGTCGGCCACTTCCCCTCTGCGACGAAGATCTTGATTAAATCTCCTAAAAGAGACGTCTGCGATTTTTGAGATTTTCAAAAGAGACACGATTTTAAACCAGCCAAAACTTTTCTAAACAAAAACAAACAGAAACAAAGCAGATACTACCCTTATAAATTAGCTTTGACAGAGCCTCAACAGAGCAAGGTTGCTGGCTCTTTCGCTGTGCGGGTACTTGTGGGGTTTTCACCATCCTGTTATGTCATGCTTACGAGCTCAGATAGTCTAAAGAGAGCGTAAAGGCCATCTACGACTGTTACGTATTTTCTTACTTTTCGCGCGTATTTTTAGCCTTGACGCTTTGTTTGTCATCTAAAATTTCAACCCCTATCCAATCGGGATGATAGAAGCAAATAAGTTCAATTGTGTACCTCAGATTCTCCAGACTTTGCCGGTTTGATGCCAAGACATTTAAAATGGCAGCCATGTGGCAAGTACCTTGCAGCGATAACTCTTCGACGTTGGGTTGTCGAGCGAGGAGCTTTGCCACTTGTACAGATGTAACATTGTTACAGTCACTGATATCCAAATATTTCAAATCGTGACATGAAAGTGATTCCAACACCTAAAAAAAAGACAGACAACGCAATCAAAAGGCAGGGCCAAGATAGTTTATAAATTCGAGATTCGAATTATCACAAGATGGTGTCACCTTGTGACCAGACGTTAATAAGGGGAGGAGGGAGGGGAAGATGTGATGTTCTATGCTATATTTCATGGCGAATAAGGTGGCCTGATCGAGAGACAAAAGAAACAAAAATAAACAAGATATAATAGAAGTAATCAAAGATTATGAGAGAGCGTTAGATGCCCCAAATTCAAATTACTTTTCATTTCATTCATATTCATGCCTGAAATTGACAAATTTTAACGTCTGCTTTACTGCATTTGTGGCGTTCGCGTTGTTGATATCCGCGCTTTTGCTGTTATAAATAAGGATATTTAAGTCTAGCGTGAATTAATTTCCCGTGGAATTTCCTTGTTTTATTGCTAGCAAGTAGAGCGATTTTTATATGCTGCAACTGTTTCGACTGTGGTCTCGGGTCTGTTGCGTGACAGCTTCAATGTCCGTAAAATTTATATAACTTATATAATAACAGATAAGCTAACATGGTTTGATGCTACTCTGGTTTACAGATTTAATGAGTGTAACCGAAGAAGTTACAATTCATAGACCTAACGTTTCGACACTCCTGTCTAGTTTGAATAGCCACAACGTTAAAGTGGCTCAAAAACCTTTCAGACTTTGGGGCATATTTTCGCCAAACCCAAGGATCCTGACGATGGCGGTTTGCTTCCTGACGGCTATTTACACTTCGTCAGAAAAAAAAGGCCGCTAATTAGTGATCATATAAAACGACCTCTTGTTGCATCGTTTAGATCACCTTTGATGAAGGCACTAGACAGGAGTGTCGAAACGTTGGGTTTATGGATTCTAACGTCTTCGGTTACATTCATTAAATCTGTAAACCAGAGTAGCATCAAACCAAGTCTGATTGTCCACCTGAACTTTAATATATTTTAACAGATAAGCTATTTACATTAAACTTCCATGATGCAAAACATTTTTCTTTTTACCGATAATATTCACAGTGTGGCAAAAACTTTTTTCGGTAGAATTATATATTTTTCTATGGGCAGTGTTCCAAGCTTGTTATATATTAGTAACAAGATATATTAGAAGTAATCAAAGATTATTGGAAAGCGTTCAGACCACAGGCAACCGCAAACGAACGCAATAATAGGCTAAGCTCAAAAACTCCCGTTTGGTACTAACCTCATCGTTAACAGCTTGATTAAGGGCAGAAAGTCCCACCATTTCCAGACTGCATCTCTGGTGCAAAAATTCCTGGAGTAGTTTGGAGGATGTCAGTCGCTCGCAATAACCAAGGTTAATACCGATCAGTCCCATCGGAATGAATTCGCAGAGTTCTTCTCCACTTATATTCGTACAATAAATGTCCAGGCTTATCAGTCGGACCATATCCTTCAACGGTGCAAAGTTACTTACTTTGACACAGAATCTAAGGCTGAGAAATTTCACGTGGGTGATGTTAGACCATATGCCTTTGTTAGGAATGTAGGTCATCCTCCTCTCGAAACATCGGAAGTCAAGAAGCGTAAA